AATTCCTCTTTCACCACCAGTTATTTAAATTTGTTGGACATATATCTTTCTTTCCTCACTTAGATTCTTAATCTGGCATGGCAGCACCACAGAGTTCTAGCCCTATTACTTTTATTTTAAAGCTCCGTATTGCATTAGTGAAAGTATTTTTAAATAGGGGGAAGTTCTTTTCCAATTGATAAAAATGAGATACTCTTGCTGTCTACTTCACAACGTATCATAAAGGATATGACTAGCACTACATACTCGCTCTGGAGACTGGAAGAAAAGAAACAACTTCTCTCACTGCATGATTTTTTACTTTCCAGACAAGGTTTGACACTGCTGCTTTGGGATTTTACATGTAAGATCTTCTGAATTTTGGAAACACAACTCCTGCCCCTACACTCAGTTTTTTAACCCATATATTTATCATTTGGTGAAATGTTCCATTTTGTGAAAAGAAAGCAATGAAGCTATTCTATTTAACATATTTGTCTCATGATGGACTTTGCTTTGCCCCTGCTTGTCTACCCTTTTGTGAATAATTCTGGATTAAATACTGCAGTTCATATTTACTCTTGATTTATTCTTTTTGCAAATCTCTCTAGATACTCTTCCTTTGTTCCATGGTAAAATACATTAAATATAAAGCTGTGTTTTTACTCTTTCTATTTTAGGCAACAAGTGTGGAGTTAAAGATGAGGGAAACTCATTAAAAAAAAATAGATGAAACAAGTGGAAACTTCATTTTGCACCTAAAACTTCATATTTTCAGTAATCTCAGAAAATAAAGTAAAAAACTGTAAGTTTTATCTTATCCCTAAAGAATTAATTATTTGCAAGGGCTGATAATATAATATTTGCAGAATTTGTTATGTTTGGATTTTCTCCTGGTGAGGCTGAAGTAGCAAATATTAAGTTGGACAGCTCTCCAAATCTTGGCTAGATCTGCAGCCCTGCTTTGTTGAGATGATGATCTGATCCAATAAAATTATTTTCATCATTACTAGCTGGATCTTAACCAGTTTTATATCAACTCTAGTTATGAAGCACTAATCTGCTTATATAAACTACTAACTTATCTGTTACTACTTTATATATGAACACTCATTGCAAACCAGAACATTTCTGAAAAACTCTCCAGGGATTATAGCATTCCTCCTGTACCAAATTCTGGGATTCATTAGAAGAGAATGGTCTAAATTTTATTCTTAAATATTAAATGACCAGAAGGCATATTCTTTTTCCAGCACCAGACTTGCAGTTGTCTTTTTAGCTTGATTGATCTCTAAATTCTTAGAGATAATTTCTCTTATCACTTGTTCTGGACTGATTTTGACTTGGGCATCCCATTTTAAATGTGGGGTTTGTATATTACAGATCTCTTTGAGATCTCTTTGAGATCTGTAATACTTTTCCCTTTTTTTATTACAAGTAAATTTTTATATCTTTATATCACTTGGGACCTAGAAATTACACTTCATTTTTTTAAATAAAAGTTATTTATCTCTAAAAACATAGGCATTTTGAGGCAGATTTTAGATTTCACAGTTTTCTGCCCAAATCCAGTTATGTATTGACAAGACTACAAAGTACATCAGGCATTTAGATGGAAGTATGCCACTGACATCAACACAGAATAACAAAAGGTAAATTGATTCATTATGGATGCCAGTGTACATGAAAAAGAGGATATCTGAAGAGTGAGGCTCGTTGCTTTGAACAGAGCTCTGGGAGTTAGATTCATTACCATCTGGAATTACGGAAGAAAATGTTTCCACAAAGTTATCACTACAGAATTCAAGGGGAAAGTTTGCGTATTTTCCGGAAAATAGATTTGTTTCTACAAGAGGGGTAACAAGTTAATTTGTTAATTATTTTAACTAGGTGGTACTCAGAATTATGAGTTTGGGGTTTTTTCTTTGTTTGTATCGGAAAATCAGCAAATCTGTACCTTGGCTCTAACAGTTGTTTCTTGACAAAAGAGCTTGCTTGACACAAACATGTCTATATCCCTAGCCTTGAAGTAAGCCATGAGGCTTACTATAAAGTTTATTCCATGGAAGGCACTCAAATGTTATTTTGAATAAGAAGTATTTTCAGTGTTAGATTTGTTTTCCTGGATAGCTCAGCTATATTCATTTGTCTGCTCATTTGTTGCTTTGAAATCCTGTATAGAAGGATCAGAGGATGGATGGAGCCTGGCTGCTTTTGTAGAAGTCATGATAGCTTCCATGGTACAATCCCTGCTGTCTGTATTAGCAGTTGTGATCACGTTGTCCTGCTATACGAATGCACGTTCACGATTTCTGTCCACTCTCCAAGTACATAATACTGCCTTTTTCAGTCCTTTCTGAAACGATGATGTTTCAGTGTTCACTCAATGGCACCTTGCAATAGATGCTCCAGCTGTGTCTTGAGGAGCTATTTAATTTTGCCAGGAAGTTGTGTCAATGGAATTGTAGCAAGAAAACACTGTCAGATAAGTGGTTTTAGTGTTTAAGACAGGAACTATGTTAACCAGAAGAAATATGGAAGCAGCCATGTGAAGATATAAATCCACTTCTCCTGGGGAAGGAGAAAGATCATTTGGTAGTAAGGCTTGAAATTTTTTGAATAGTGTTACTGAAATAATTCTCTTTGCCACAGTGGTAAAGTTTCTGTGCAGCCAACTTGCACTGTTAATGGAATGATTTTTTTAGTATTCGTGCTGAGTCCTAAATTATCTGAACAGTTGGAAGCATCACAGAGGAGTGTTGAACTAAACGGAAGTAGAGCATCAAAATCCAAGGACACCAAGGGGTGAAATAAAATGGACAAGAATCATAGAAACATATAGTTTTGAAAAGACCTTCAAGATCATCAAGTCCAACCATTAACCTAGCACTGCCAAGTCCACCACTAAGTCATGAGTGTAAAAGGAGGGATAATGGTCTTAATTCTTTTTGATATGTCAGTGGGTTTAATAGAATAATGCAACAATAAAAGCAGTTATCATACAAGGAATAGCCTAAAAACACAAAAATTATATCAGTGAGAGAGAACTCAAACCAGAAATCTGGTCAAATGCTGTCCTATTTTGTTTTTTCCACATCTTTCTCTAAATTCGGTTCTACCACTATGACCATGTAAAATCTGCAAGATAATAATAGTTGAGAGCCATTAGGGGGCCATATGATTCCAACTTATTTATAGCCTGCAGGGTTGGGTTTTTTTTAATTCAACTTGAAATATCTTAACTTTCTGTATGTGTATAGCCTGTGTAAGTATATAGTCCTAATTTCTTTCCTTTGTTCACCTTCTAATGATTATATGTGCATGTTGAAGATTGTCATAATTGGATGCTACACCATTTGGGGAGGCATTGTGGTACGTAGCTCCTTACCTATGTGTTACATAATGTATATTTAAGTAAATATTTATTTAAATAATACTTATTTTGATAAAATATTTAAATTCTTTATTATATTGTAATTACTTTTGTCTGTAATTCATTAATTCAATAAATCTGTGTATTAGTCAGTTTCTGTTGCTATCATTTTTTTGCAGCTGTAACATTCAGTCTCGGTGAGTACTCAGGGTGAACATTCCCATGTGTAAAATACCAAAGATCAAGGCTCAGCTTACTGCTGTCACACAGATGCTGCACTGGGCAGACAAGCTCAAAATACAGAGTTATGGCAAAGATGTTGGAAGCTCAGCTATGGATAATACAAACTAGTAAGGTCTTTATATAGCACTGCATTAATCTACACTTTGTTCCTGATTCTTCAACTATTTGGTTTAGAGGTAACTTTATATCGTCCTGCATATACATACTGTCTGTTTAAACCTGAACAAACCATTTGTACCTCTATTCCCTTTTGAAAGTGGGAGTAAGACTTCCCTATCTTAAATTAGTATTTCTGAAGTATGGAAATTGGAAGAAGGGTCATTTAAGTATGGGGAGAACATGTATGTTTAATGAAAATATGATATGGTACAGGTGTAACAGGTACATACAAGAAATCTGAAAGAAGATTTAAACATTGCAGAGTCTTTGAACTACCTATGCTATGCCTTAGTAGGTAGGTTCCTGAAAGGAAAAAATGTTAATTATTCATAATGCTTTGCTGTACCATAAAACTCGATTTATTGAGACTATAATTTGTTCAAGTTGCATGTAGTAGGAAAATATATCAGGAGTAATTAATTGTATTCAGGATGTGATGAGGTAGATATATCCACAGAGGACAATTGAAAACAGTAGTGGTGTGGTATTGATTGCCTTTCAGAGGGAAAAAAAATCTTGTCTCGTTTCTAAATGTTAACAATTCAGAGAGAAAAATTCCCACTTGGGAAGAATGCTTTCCAGGTTGCTTCATTGCCAGGTGTTTGACATTGAATGAGCCTTAGATGAATGAAGCTTATGGCAGCTTTTGGAAATGACCGACTCAGGGGAATCTCAGCTTCCTGCTGTGAAAGTTTCTATTTTCAAAGCACATCAGTTTCAGTGGGAATGTTCCACTGGTCCCATATGCTAGTTCTGATAGAGGGTAAGTTTTTAACCCGAATATGAGACAGCTACTGAAGAGGTTCCCTTGCTGCTAACAAAATGAATTTCAATATGTTGCCAATGAATAAGCGGCACATTCCCAACTGCTGATGGAATTTAACTCCCATCAATTATTAATGGAAATTTTGCTTTAATTTCCTTTTTTTCCTGTTGCCTTTTAGCTCCACTACCTTCTTCTGATAGGACTTTTGGGTTCTGAACCTGAAAAAGGAATCACCCAGGCAATATGTTAGTTTGCTTTGAAACTCTCGCTATATTTTCCTTCCATCCCTCATACACTCTCTCCTTGACCTAGCAGCAGGAAGCCTTTGTCTGAGGTGTTCATCTGGAACAACTTTTCCACACTTGTTTTCATGTTCTGTTAGATTACAGGGCAGCAGGCCTACCTTTGAAGCTCCCTTCTCTTTTGTTTCTTTGCAGTGCACTCCAGTAATTAACTTTGTCCTTCTTTTATTTGTTCCAGTCAATCGCAGTCCACTCTGCTGAGCATCTTCTCCCAGGAGTACCAGGTTAGAAGTTTTCTCCTTTGTGAGGGTTGACAGGTGCCTAATTGAATGATGAATGTCCCTTTATTTCTTTGTAATTGAACTGCCAGCTTTCTGATTGGTTTGGAGGATGTTCCTTTTTCCACATCAAGCACCGCCTGAGTCTCAGTGGATGGCTGCCAAGCCTACCCATCCATCTGTCTAATAACATCTAGCCTTTGCTTATTTGGTGGACCTGTAATAAATTATGCTAAACCATTATTATTCTGACAATAATAATTTCCCTGTGTTGCGTGGTTCCATGTGCTAAATGTTTGCTGACTTGCACTGTCAGTGCTGCTTTCCATTGCTGACAGAGATGATGATAAATGACCATTGCCGGAGTGGCAGAAGGCAAGAGAGGCAGAAAATGGAGTCATTTATCATGAGATGACAGATGTCAGTCAAGTGGCAAGTCTCTATGGAATTACTTTTTGTAGTTTTTTTAAATAAGTTGTTTTTAAGCAATGTTTTTCCTGGTTAAAAATGCCAATTGAATTGTAGAACTAGAGTACACCAGACTGAGATGGAATTGAATTGGGGAAAATTACAACAGAGGTTGAAAGAGAGAACAAGGGTTTTTTTGCCCTCTGCAGCCTTCAGTAAACTTATTTAGATTCAATTATTGTGACCTTATTGGCTTTTACATATGGTACATTGCAGTACAGTCTGAAGACGTTCAATTCAATAGGTAGATTGAATGTCATTTCTGTACAGAATCTAAAACCAGGGTTCACATATATCAAAGTGTAACCAAGGATTGTGTGTTTGTGCAGTCGTGATTTCTGTGTTTTGATCTATGATATGTTTGTAAAACTCTTTGTTTTTTTGTTTTTCTAGAAACAAATCAAAAGAACACATGCCAAGCACCACACTGCTGAAGCTATTGAAACTTACTACCAAAGGTATGACCTCCTCACCCCAGTTAAGACTGTCATCATAGCTACTATTTGTTATGGCAGTTATGAGTAAATAACCTTATGAAGCTAATTTTCTACAAAAATAAATTAAGAATTTGAGACGGGGAATACAGAATGGTTCACCTGAAAATGTTTTTCACTGAAAATGCAGAAATTTTTCAGTATTTGGTCATTTTGATTAAGAAGGAATTTACTTTTCTGGCTCTAAGTCGGGATAAGCAAATATTTTTTACAGAGTATGTGATACCATTTATTATGTATTGCCTATAATTTGTAATTGTAGGATTTCTGTGTCAAGACTGATATTGATGACAGCTTCCTTACAGCTAGAGAGCTTGTTTTGTTACTGTTGCTTGTACTTTTAGAACAACGCTTTTGTTACATTACAAAAAGTTACATATTCATGTATTGTCATTTAAAGCACTAATTTTTAGATCACTCCTGTTTTATCAACAGAAGTGTCAGAAATAGTTTTTAAGGGAGGATGAAAACCTTTATGTCATTTTACAATATTTTACAATTGTTTGCATCTTAAGCTAATAAATTGTGTTTGCTACACCTTATAGTTTGTCTGTTAGTTCTGTACGCTTTACTAAAAATATTGCAATGACATAATTGGGACATACTCATAACAGGTAAAGATATGCAATTAAAATATGACTTTGTAGACTGACATATCTGAGGAGCATGCATGGCAAGTGAATTCATACTTGTGATTATAGATGTCTGATATTCATTCTTAGTATTAATCTGTGTGAACCAGGAAATAAACAAAAAGCCTTCATTTGTAAACAAATAACTGTGCTTCTGCCAGTCACATATTTAAAATCCAACCGCAGCTTGATTATATCAGACAGTGGTTTAGAATATCTAGTGTGAAGTGTGCTGTTTTTTGGGGCATTTGGTTTTCTTTTTTTAGTAGTTGCACTGTTCTGTAAAAATTTGCACTGGATCACATCACACTTTTCCTAGGGTTGATTCTTGTTTAGGAAGACTATTGGCTTAAAATTTTGTTGTGTTAATAGCCATGTATATACAGTATTATTTTTAATTATTTTTCACTAGCACAGTTTCAGTGAATGTTAATGGTCTGTGTTAATGGTAACTGCTGTGTAAATAATCCTTTTCTTTAGCATACGTGTAAATCGCTAGTTCCAGCAACTTCAACCTAAAACATGGGACCAAATTCTGCTTTATGCAAAGCAGCAGTTGTGTTGGTGTCAATAGGGTTGTAGGTATGATTAAGTTCGTCTCACATCAGGTTGGAGAATTTGGTCTCCTGTCCTCTTCTGTAGTCTGAAGTATGATAGCAGTACATAACTAATGCATTATGTATGAAGCTATGTGGTAGTAGTAGGGAAAATCATTCTTTACACTATTTCTGAGTATTTCATATTGCAGGTGTATTAACATGACCAAATAAAATGCACATGTTTTAAAATCAGAGATGTTCTGGCTAATAGTTAGAAAACTCGTCTCAATCCTGTTTTAGTAGATTTACTGTGTAGTGTGTTTAGTAAGCTACAGAGGCAGACGACTTGAGAGAGAAGCCACTTTGAAATGCTTCAGGCGTAAACATGACAAACACGTCCTCTACTCTTCTGTAGCATCCATTTTGCTGCTGTAAACCCCGGTCTGTGTGCTATGCTCCTGTCATGGTTTGAGATCTCAAAATCCAATTCCTGATCCCTAGCCCCCCTCCCACATCTCAATCCCATGTGAGATGGGTTTTCCAGACAAAAACACAAGACTCAATATGGGGGGAAGGAATATATTACAAGACTGTACACATAAATAAATACTTATACTATAATACATTACATATAATCTTAACTCTATTTCTATCTCTACCATGGCAATAATATTTACAGTGGGCCAAATCTCTTCTCCCTCCAAATAAAAGTCCAGGAGAGAAGAAGAAGAAAAAACCCCTTCCAGTCTCTCTAGGCAGCAGATCTCTCTAGGCAGCAGGCTCTCTGTGTCTTTCATAAAGCAGTTGCAGCTGGATCCTTGCCAATGCACACGAGGGGGGTCTCCAAGCCCCTCTCGGCCCCTCGACGCCAAACGAAGGGTCTTTCCGTGGGCTGCTTCACCCCAGACAAGGTTGCTCCACCACGGTCATATCACGAAGCACCGGGGTCTTCGTGACGGTCTGGTATCCTCAGGGGAATCCAAGCCCCTTCACAGAGCTTCTGTGCCCTGCCTCAAGGTGGCTGCCAGCTTCTCTGAAGCTGCAGCAAGGGGGGCCAAGGTCACCCCACACACACACATTCCTTTGGCCGTCCTGGCTTATCTCTCAGGAGGCCGGAGCTTCTTGGCTCCTCTCTGTAGTGCATACTGCACTCCAAGACATTTTCAAGTGAGTCCAATTATCCTCCTCTCTCTCAGAGGAGTCTCCAAGGGAGTTTGGGGGTTTTGGTTATTTAGTTCTTACCCCCCGAAACTCTGTTCCTGCTGCTGGCTCGGTTCTCTTGTCCTGCTTTCTGCTGCTGGCTCTTTTCCTCTCTTTACTCGGCTCGCAGAAGTTTTTCTGTCTGCTTCCTCGGTTCTTATCAGTTGGCTCTTTGCCACTGCTCTTCGGACGCTGCTGTTCTACTGCTGCTCCCAGCGTCTCCCACTGCTGCCTACCGGGGAGAAACTCCCCCAGCTCCTAGCCACAGGCACTCAGCCCAGCTAACACTGTTCCGAGTCCCCGCAGCCCCCCAACTGGGGGCTGGGGGGGGCCAGAGGCCCCAAGGGGCCCCGAGCCCCTTCCTTGTGGCTTCTACAACATGGCCACTTCTCCTTCAACAACAAGAACCACCTCTTCTCTTCCGGTCGAGAGATATGTTTATATTTTGCAGGGGCACTGATTGGGTCAAACCCCAAGAGTCACCACCCCCTGGGGGTTACCACTTTCCTAGTTTCAGGGGGAAAACCTGGCTCAAACCACTACAGCTCCTTACTATTTCTGCCAACATACAAGCAGATAATTGTGCTGTCATTGTTTTCTTAGTTCAGAAACTACCAGTTTTTGAAGGTAGCCATTTCCAGTGATCCCTGTTAGGAGCAAGTAGAACAGTTGAGTAGAGTACTTTTTGCTGCTCTGCTGAGGCTTACTACTCTGAAATTTAGGCAAAGACAAATTACAAGAAGGATCAGAAAGTTTTCACAACAGTGTTGCCATCAGCATGTGAGACCTGTTAGTCCATAATGGAGTTGCCAGTAGCATTAGAAATATCTGACAGAAAATTACATCATCGTCAGCTGTAGTTTTGCTGTTCAGTCATCTAGATGCATGTTTTAGAACATTAATCTCAAATGAATGTTCCTGGTTAGGTATTTTGTCTATGATCTCTCCTTTTCTTTTTCTGTTATAAATTTTCAATGTATAAACATCCACAAGGCATCTTGTTTTATGGTTTTTTTAGTGTAGAACTGAAATAGGTTACAGCAAAAAGCTTTTTCCATTTCTGTTATTCATTAAACCTCAGAATAACTTGCAAGCAAAAAGTCCTCTATCTAATCTTACACAAAGAGGTTTTATAAAGGTGTTACACCCATTCCACAGAAAGGTAAAATGAAAGAATTTTAATGTCTGTAACTAATGAGCAGAAGAGTGTCTTCTGATGGATAGATAATGATAGAGCTGGAAAGGCTGTGGCCTTCTAATGATGTCGGTATTGAAGTGCTGTGCGAATACAGATAGGATAAACGAGCAGGTTCAAATATTGGTAACTGTTGTTCTTTTCCACATGGCTGCAAAGCACAAAGTGGCTTCCAGTATCATAGTTTCTTCCCATCAGCTCTTGAACACAGGTTTTAGACATTATCAAAATGTAAACATCAGGCAATGAAAGTAACAGAAGGGAGGAAGGCGATATTGTGTGAAGTGATGGTCAGAAACATCACTGTGTTAACTTAACCAGAAACATTAAGCCTTTGCCACTGATAGGATAATAACTTTCTATCAACTTTTACTGGATCCTACATGTTTCTTTTTATTTTCTTTTTAGAATATTAATTTAATTGTTAGACTCTGATTTCACTGAAGTAAACCTTTAGTATTTAAACTACTGCCCGATTGATAAAATCTGGATTAAATTTGAGAAATTTTTTTTGTGCATAGCAGTGAATTGACTAAGGTATACAGCACGCCTTCATAATTGAAGGTCACGTGAAACCAAAAATCTTTACTGTGAATAGTAGAGGTTTATTTGTCTGTGATGCATCTTGAAGTAGTACAGATACACTTAATTTGTATGTCATTAAGCCACAATTTTTTTAATTTCTTGATTTATTGTGTTTTTTATGAGTGACTTCATTGAGATTGATATATATTGCAGCTGAATAGAACAGGAGACAACCCTGGAGAGTTAGTGATGCCCTAAAATACTTATTTCTTAAAAGATTTCCCATTAAGTACTCTGTACTGGAGTATTTTCCCCCAAATGAAAGAGATTCACAGGGGATGCTGACATGTATAAACTGGCCTTTTCTTGCCACTGCAAAATTATCTGGCTTTGTCTTGTCTAGATACCTGAATGGGGTGATGAAAAATGCAGCTACCCCTGTATTACTGGAGCTGGCCAATGAGGTAATCATCTTTACATTTTTCTTTAATCTTCCAGTGTAAAACCTAAGGGGCATATCTACAGTGACTTCAGTGAGAAATGTAATTAACCTAAAAAAATGGTTTCAAGGCACATTAGACATTTAAAATGGTTCCCCAGTCTGTTAGTACTTACAATAATTAGACAAAAAGCCCCATTTATTAATAAATCAGTTAATGTAATTAGTCTCTTAACTTGAAGGCGAATGTGTAAGATACTCTGAATTTGTATTTTGATGAAAATTTCAGACAGAATATAGGTCTTTAATGCATGAACTTACTAAAAATTCTCACATTGATTAGATGGAGTTGTATCAGTTTTACTTATATTTGATTCCTTGTTTTTAATAACAAAACCCATCAAAGATATTACTATTTTTTTTAATAGGAAGGGTTAAAACAGATAATTTTCCTGAATCCATTTATTTCTGTTCATATGGATTAGAGGATGGCTAATGAAAACTGCTTAATATAAAGCAATTAAGCAGAATAAATTCCT